TTTTACCTAAGTTACACCATCTTTCATCAAAGTTGCCAAGTCCTGAATCCTTCAGAGCTGCAGGTTAAAGCAAAATAGACAATTTTCTTCTTCCATCAGGGCAGTTTGTGGGCGAGGGGGGGTTACAGGGGTCTGTGGGGTGGTTTGGGGGGTGAGACAGGTCTGAGGGGCTCACCTTTTCATAATGTTGTTTCTCAGAACTGCTGAAAGATGAAGCTGGTTTTCTTCTTCTTTTTTTTTTTTTTTTTCCCCCCAAAAGAAAGAAGTTTTGGTATGACAGCCCTACGCTGGGATCTAAGATGGTAAGTGCTGCATTTGTCTGCGCCAAGAGGAACAAGCTTGTGCTTCTGCCATTGTGTCTGACTGGGGGAAAAAGAATTTCTGGTGGAGAAACAGCAGAATGTGTGAATGTGTGAAGGAGCATGAGGGCTCCAGTTTCACCACGCCGTGCCACGACCGCTGTCAAGAGAAGCCGCTCGGCTCCCCGTGGCTGCTTCCACCCCTGTGCTGGTCGTTTGTCTGCACCAGCACCACCACTCGCTCACACACTCTTGAGCCTATAGCAGAGAACTGATCCAGACTGAAACTTCTCTATACCAGCTTAGTTTTACAGAAGACGAGTATTTTATGTTTGTTTTTCAAACAAGCGATGCTTTTCAGTTAGCGCATGCTGTGCGTTAGCAGATTGATTGAGCTGTGTAACTTGCTACAAAATGATGGGAAAGGTAAGAAACCTTGACTGCAATACGTGAAGGTCAAAGATTTTGTGAACACAAATATTCTTTGTTGAAACACCTGGTACATAAGACCTGTATGAAGCCATCACAGCTGCAATAATGGCAATTCTAAGAGCGTACTTAGTAGAGTGCACAGAAGTGTATCTAACTGCCTAAATACAAGTTTGTAACTTAATGTGTTTATTTTCTTTTAAAGATGTATAAACCAACCGGATTGCCCTTTGTAGTGAAAGACCAGACAAAAACTAGGAAAGAAGATAACATACGCCACAGAGTCTTGAACAACCTTATTCACAAAGCTGTGACAGAGATGATGGCCACCAGTGAAGTTAATCAAGAACTTCACGATCTCAAGCTGGAAATCTGCAAGGCAAGTGCCAAAGCTGGCACTCTTGCTGCTCCTCGAGGTCAGCGTGGCCAGAGGAGCAGCCCCGGGTGTTGTGGTGTGGGCAGGAGTTGTTCCATGTTGTTTCTTTTTGAGCCTGGTGGGGTATTAGGAGTTTGCGGAGCGTGCTCTCATAGCGAGAACCCGTTCTGTAAGATGCTGCTAGATGCGACGAGTAACAGTTACAGAAATCTTTCAGAATCCAAGTCATGTTTCAGAAGTTTGTTCTTCAGGAAGTTTGTGTGGTTCATGCCCTAAACACTGTGTGAGCTAGAGGTTTGGGCGCAGGAGGTTCCCAGAGCAGGATTCGGAGCTGGAGAGACTCTTCCGTTAGGGTGGCATGAAGGGCGTCCTCTTTTCTGTCAATATCAAACCCAAACTCTGGGTGACAACAAACCAGGCAGGGTCTCAGGTCTTTCTTTAGCAGAAACATGCACTTTCAACTGGATTCTAAAACAACATGCCATGAATTGTCCTCCTGGACTGTGTGTGGTGGTAGCACTGTCACACTGACTAAGCGTAGCCCTGTTGGTAACATCCAGGTGTCGACAGACTTCTCTGTTTAATTTCAGTTGAAGGGGTGATTAGGCAGCGACTTGCCTAACTCAAAAATTTGTTCTGGTACTGAATGTAAATCTTACTTGGTGTTAAACTGTGCCTCTGTAAAGGCACCGTGTAATTATGGTTCTTAAGAGCAGAGATGAAAAAAGAGTTTCTCCTAAGTTTTTACATATTTGGGTTACTGTGTGCTTATTAATGACTTAGTTGTATACGACGTGTGTGGGTATATATTTTTTAAGAAACATTTGGCTCTTTGCAGGTGTCCCTGGCATCAAACTTCTCAGCATGTCGTGTGTACTGGAATCCTGCTGCCACTACGGAGAAAGAAAGTTATGTTGAGAGCGTGCTGCGGAAGAGTGCTCCACGTATACGGTACTGCTGTGGGATAAACAGTTAGACCGCTTCATAAATTCAGAGCCACACACTACTGCCATTTCTTGAGTATTTCTAACCCTGTTAGGATGCTGTAGGTGTTTAGATCTTTGTTGTCAGAGCATCTTCTGCAATGAGCCTCACGGGGCAGGACGGCTCTGTCACACCAGCTGTGCCTCGTCCTGCTGTGCTGCAGGCGGGGCTGGGCGGAGCAGGAAGAAAGAGGAGTCCAGATGAATTTTCACTTCACTGGACTGGTGGTGGTTGGCTGGACGTGGTGACCTCTGAGGGTGATGCTGCACGAGAGGGCTGGCAACTAAAAGTATCCAAGTATCTCCTGACTGATTCGCTGGCCATTCTGATCGCAGTTTGGACCTCCAGAAGGGATGACTGATGTTACAGAAATCCTTCACAATACTGACACCAAAAAATAAACGTTGGCATGCTACTTTGGATTATGATGCTTTTACCCATTTTTGGCAGAGGGTCCAGTGAGTTTTCAGGATATAGAGGTTTTTGTCTCTCCCTTTCTCCTTGGCATACCTTCAACCGGTCTGTGAGGTGAAGCCAGTCTAACTTCCTCAATACTCAGTGGGATCTGCAACTAGTAGTTTCTGTAGGTTACACAATGAGAGTTGGGATTCTGCAGTGATGCTTAGTGCTGACCCAAATGGATCCCCGCTGGGCGGTAAGCTTTGCAAACCGGTACTGCTGGAATGAATTTCACGTATTTTGTCTGTCCTGGAGGTGGTGTACTGTTGCTCATACCGGTGAACGCTGTCTTTTTGCCAGGTATCTTCTGACGAGTCAGCAGATTGTAGGAAACTTACCCCCGGTAGTATTTGTAAAAGACAAAGAAGCATCAGCTGTAAAAGAGGTAATCATCATCTTTGACTCAATAACGATACACAAACGTGGCGACTTGGCGACTTAGCATACCATAACGCTTAGGGATGCAGAGAGCCCTGGTTGTTAACATAGATTATGTTAAAAATCAGTCTTTTTCCATGCCCTTGCCTCTTCATCTTCCGAAGCATTTCAGCAAAGAATCTTGGGCAAGGCTGATGCTTGTAGACAGTGTAAAAGAATCCTCGTAGCTAGTGCCTCATGAACTTCTTGTGATGCTACTTAATAGCATGTCTGAAGTGAAGTTTTCAGAGAAGCTTGGAGGCCAATAAAGAAATCCCAGAAAATGAAATTACAGTTTTAAGGCATAATATAAAGTAGACAGTTGTGTGTTGCCTGGTATACATGACTGTAGAAATGAGGCCTGAGGAGCTGTCTTCCACATTTTAAATGTTATGTTTTTAAAATTCCATTGAGGTTTTTTACCCCAACCTTCTGTCTTTGTATTGTTAACATGTTTCTGGGAAAGTGCAGATTTTTGCACAGAGGATATACGCTCCCTCATATTACTTTTCTTTTTTTTATCTTTCAAAATTATCTTTAGTATTTCACATTTTCTGTCAAGGTGCTTATAGTTTTAACCATTCAAATACTGCTAGAATAATAATGTCACAATATCATTGGTTACATCAGGGTTACAACCAGTTACTGCTGGTGGCTTATGGGATCACGTGGGGTGTATTAGCAGAGCTGGAAGGGAGAACCAAAACTTTAGACCCTCTGGAAACGAATTGCTTGAACTTTCTGTGGCCAGAAAAACTCTGAGTTTCATGCCCATGTGCCGATCCAACAGTGCAGATGTTTTTCACCTGCGTTGGCACCAACAACAGCACAAGAGTAGAAACGAGCTAAACACTCCTGAAAGCTGTTTATATTCCTCAAACTTTGTTCAATGACCTCTTACTCTTTTTGAAGACTGGGCGACCTTGCCTTTAAGTTCAGTGCGTAGGCACCAAGAGATTTAACCACAGAAGACAAGTAACAACCCTCCCTGTGTAGCTTCTGTCTGTGGATGGCACTGGGAAGCACTGGGATTGTCTTTTCACGCTTTGCAGCTCGTCAGATCTGTGTCATCCCCAGAATCAAATAACCAGGCTTGAAATAATGTAGCTGAACCTGAATTTTTTAAGTATTGGAAGACAAGGAAGGTCCATCCAGTTCAACTCTTCAAAAAATAGGCTGAATTAGAAGGCAAGTACTACAAAGAAAAGCAGGAATAGAAATTTCCAGTGAGAGAAAATTTTCACAATGAGGTACAGTCTATAAGCACTGGATATACTTGATTTGTAGCATTTACTGGTTAAGTGCCATGTTAAAAGGGAGTTGGGAGCTCATTATTTACATGTAATAGAAATACAAACTTAGGGGCAGAAGAAGTGGAAAAAAATCTCAGTGTGAGGTTGTTACGAAAAAGAATTTGCAAGGCTGAAGGAAGATGAAATAAAACATTCTTGGGTGAGTTCTGCTATTTGACACAAACTTCCTGGGCACGAAGTAGAAGCAGTTTCCTGTAGATGGAGGAAAAGGCTATATTTGACATGGTTTTGCTAAATATTCCAAACATGGAGAAAATAATATATTTACTGTTAGATATTTTTCTCGTTTTTGTGTAGGTGTAACAAAGTAAATTCTCCAGAACCTTTAATACGTATTGTCTTCGTGTGTTTACAGGTTGAGAAATTATTGTCAATTGCTGATTTTGGACCTCCAGAGGAAGAAGAAACATTATCTCAAAATGATTCGAGGTGGGGTTTTTGAATCAGAATTGGGCAAGTGTCCATTTTCACCTCTGTTGGCCAACTTAAACTGGGTATTATTTGACAGGACAGAGAGTATATTTTTGACTATATTTTTGAGTATATTCTGACTAGATGTGTACATTGTTGTTATCTCAGAGTTCAGCAAATGGTATTACAAGGAAATAGAAAGTAGGAAAGAGAGACTTTTTGGAAGATCTTACTGAAAAGGCATCTCAGCTTTTAAAGAGATCACTTGGGGCCTTTTGTTAACAGCAGAGGCTACAGAACAGCCAAGGACAAAACTCACAATCAGACATTAAATACAGAGGGCAGCATTTTATTTTACTTGCAGACCCAACACTTGATCTGTGGTATTCGTAGTGTTACTTTGATAAGGGAAATATTTTTAGAATTCTTAAGAATTCAAGACTCGATGTGTTTGTGATAATTACATTTTTTTAAAAAATGCTTTGCAGCAGTAATATTTCTTTCTGGCTGCTAATTTTCTCTACGTTTACCAGCTCCACATTTACCAGTCCTCCCCTATTGACCCCCTTTTTTCTGGTTACACGCCGCCCGTCCTTGGACATGCAATACAGTGGTGTCTTCTTCTTAAGACAGGGAGCGCAGTGCTGAACACAGTCTCTTAGTAAAGTCAGACTGAAAACTCCAGTCTATTTCTGGCTTACAATTAGGATTGCCCCTTTAAATATGCACGAGGGGAAAAAAACTCTCAATATTTGTTTTCCTTTCCACAGCGAGCTGGCAGCTCAGTCTTCAGATTCACCCATGCGGTCTAACCTTTTTGGTATCGATCACGAGCTGCTGAATAAGCAGATAATGGACTACAAAAGACTGAAAGTGTCAAGAGATGCAGAAAGCATCGCCTGGACGGAAGAGCAGGAGCAGCAGCTTTCCAAGATTCGGAAGAAAGTGAAAAAGAAAAAAGCAAAGGATCCTCCTGACGATGACATTACACCACAGAAATACTTACTGGATAGATACGAAGCCGATCACTGGGATGATAACACTGAATCAGTCTCGGACTATGAGCTGGAGGATGAATTACAGGAAGAGGTAAAAGAATTGGAGGCAGATGATGGCAAAACTCTAAGTCAGACTACTGATAAAACTGAAATGAAGTGAAAAAGCCGCTCGCTTTAACATGGAGGCTGCCAATAGCACACAAAAAATAGACTGCCGTCAATATGGAAAGATTAGTTTTGTACAGCCTGTTCACCACTTCCTCTTTCAAGCTACTAGGTTTGCCACGCTTGGGGAGGTTCCCTAGTGCGAGGTTTGTAAGAGAACCAAAAATGCTGTTTGTGACGTTCTCTTCAGCAGCCTTCAAGCTGCTGCAGTTCTGGGACTTGCAACCAGAGAGCAGTTTCGCAGTGACACAATACACACAGTGCAGCACCGAGTTAAAGCTGCTTGCAGTCCTGTTGATTATTTCCAAAAAAACTATGGCTTCTGTGATGAAATAAAGCTACAACCCTGGAAGAAAATAATTATATTTATTTTCATATTCAGAAATTTACAGTTGAGCAAAGGGGACTTCAACCAGAAAAGGATGGGAAACTGCAACCAGAAAAGGATGGAGAACTGCTCATCCATTGGCTAAAAAGCATTGACTGTCCCTGAAAAAATGTATTTAAAACTCAAAAAGGCAGAGAAAAAGCAGCAGGGAAGAATGCCCCAGGAACTGCCTGAGATTTAGAAGCGCATGTGGGGAATCTTATAAGTAGAATAAAGCTTTCTGGCTCAAGGCAAGTAAAAAATTTAGAGTGTGAGTGTATAAAGTCAGAAGGGCCAAAGTTTCAAAGTAAGTTATAAGGAACATTTGTTAGTCAATGGGGAAATAAAGACAACTCAGGGGAGGTTGCAGTACATTGTGCTGCTCTAGTTTTTCAAAAATATGCAGAATACAGTGAGTATAAGCTCCAGCATATAAAAAATAAAGGGGTTTTTGGTTGAATAGAGGAGTTGAGGTCAGCAGTGAGCACTGACCTTCACTGTAGGTCATTTAATAATCCCCTTGAAGCGAATTCCGGAGGCAGACTGCCCGTAAGAACATGGAGCTATGGATATCCGTAGGATATTGCTCTAAGCTGTTCAGAGCTTGTGCTGAATAAGGGTCAGGATGTCTTAAATGCCCGCATCCCTCTCACTGGGTCACGTGCTGAAGCTGTAGCTCACATTGGTACTTGCCTCCCTAGAAGCAGGTGGACGATCCCACGAATTTCATTGTGCCTTGCTGGAGCTCTCCAGGAGTTCTTCCTAAATTCCATGGGACGGATGCGCTTTGGAGGTAAGCGCTTTAGTTTGTTTTCCAGTGACTGAAGGTATTTATTGCGTCGGAAACTGTTCCTGTGCAGTTCTCATGGTCAGTCAGAGCCACAAGCTCTGTCACAACTTGGCAACAAAGCTCTTAACTTTTTGAATGAACTACAGGAACCTGTTAATTAGTAGTCGCTAAATGAATCCATAGAATGCTAATGTCTCCATCCTTAGTTTCTGCTGGATAAAATGTGGGACTGTCCTTACTCTACCTCGAAAAAAATCTTCATTAACCTAGGAATAACAAGTTGGGTGCGTGTTTTTCTTGAATTCAATCCTTGTAGATGGCACACGGCTGCACTGCACTCATTTGGGCTTTAAAATCCGCTGTGGTGAAAGACCCGTCATGCTCATCAAAATGCAAAAATGTTTGTCTGTTGCGGTAATTACTTCTGACCCTTTTTTAGTAGTATGTTCTTTGGGAAGTCCCATCACAAGATGCGTGGCCAGCAGGGCGAGGGAGGGGATTCTCCCCCTCTGCTCCACTCTCGTGAGGCCCCACCTGGAGTGCTGTGACCAGTCCTGGAGCCCCTACTACAAGAAGGATCTGGACGTGCTGGAGCGTGTCCAGAGAAGGGCCACGAGGATGCTCAGAGGGCTGGAGCACCTCTCCTGTGCAGACAGACTGAGAGAGTTGGAGCTGTTCACTCTGCAGAAAAGAAGGCTCCGAGGAGACCTTATTGTGGCTTCCAGGATCTCAAGGGGG